GGGGCTGGAGCACCCCTGCACAGCGCGGCGCAGGCCTGGCTCGGAGCTGGCCCTCACCCCAGGTGCTGAGCATCTCTGGGGTTGTGAGAGCATGCTGGGGAAGGTTCTAGGTCGTGTGACTGGGAAAGCAGTGGAGCTGGGAGAGCGTGAAAGCTTGTATGAGATTTACTGTAAGCAACTCGAGATCTTAGGAAAGAAAATAGGTAGATGGCTGGAAATCAAGTGGAGAAGAATAAAACCTTCTCAAAGCTTTGCAGTCGGCCCAGGGTAAACCAAACTCAACGGCTAGCTTCGCTCCTGTTCTTTCGGCCTCTGAGGGTGAAGTGGCCAGGCTGTGCTCTGCTGCGTTTGCATCTGCCGGTGGTTCCCTCCCCCTGGCTGCATTGGGCTTGGGAACAGCCGATGGACAGGAAGCACTGACTTTGGTGCAAGGGTTGCCCATGAGCCTCAGGCATGAGTCTGAGAGCCCTAGCTAGGGGGGACGGACGGCCATGCCCTCAGCCACACACACACGCATACACACACACACACACAATCAAGTCGCCCTTTGCACAATCTTGGACACAGCCAACAATACCCACATCATCTCAGCCAGCCCCGCAGCCTCGCTGACTCTCACCCATGCACACACCATCACGAATGCACCCAGACACACACTGTTTGTAAAGGACCGGGGAGGTTTCCCAGCCCCCCACTCCGCTTCTCCCTGGCTGAACAGCCTAAGATTTGAGAGCCTCTGCTCTCTCTCTGGGCTACCAGGACACATTTCCAACTGCCCAAAGCAGTGACAGATCACCCCAAAACGGCAATGGGATGGCACAGCTGAATCTGAACCCAGAGCAGGAAACCCTGGGCATCGTCCGCTCCTGCGGATTCTCAGCTGTGTTTGCAGAGCCAGGCCTTCTCCAAGGAGGGGTCTCCAGGACGGGGCGGGGAGATGCGGAGGGGGAGCTGGGCTCTCTGCTTCCCAATCCCGCTGCTCTACTCCCAGCGGTCCTGCTGCATCTGCTTTATATAGTGAGCTTCCGGATACGGTTTATTTGGAAAAAATCAGATTTCGTTTCACTACAAAAAGAGTTTAAAAGCACTGGTCTGACCCCCTCCTGTTAGAGATAAACAGCTGAAGACACAGGTTGAGTCCGCCACACAGCTTGCTGGCAGCAGAGATGGGGACCCAGGTGTCCTGAAACTACATTGTAGCCACCAGGTGGGAGGCTGTCGTGTGACCTGTCACACTGGGCTGCCCTGGACAAGCCTCTCAGCTCAGGCTGACAAATGGTGCCTGTGTTGGTGACATTGGCCCCCAGATGCCCAAATGTCCATAAAGAAAGGCCTTTGAGAGTTGCCTACCCCAGAGAGAGGCCGGGATGAGGCGCGTTTTCACAGTCCCAGGACCATTATCACTGCCAAGCGAATCACAACAAACCCTCAGCCCGGCCTGGCATCCCACCCGAGGATGGCGATCGGAGGCTCCGGGAGCCGAGGGAAGCAACACCGGAGCGCAGCATGACTGGCAGGGAGAGGGAGCAGACCGTCCTGCAGCTCCCCTTCCAAAGGCAAGGCGAGAAAACGGCTCCTTCAAGGAGTCCCCAGAAACGCCAGGAACGCTAACACGTTCTCCTAAATAATTTCAGCGTGACTCTCACAGGGTCCAGGCAGCATCTCAACAGGCTGTTCCTGTCCTTGCTGTCAGGTCTGTCCTTCCTCCTCACAGGTGCCACCCCTTACAGGAAGCCCCGCCAGACCACGTAGACAACAGGTCAACTCCACTGCAATGCTCAGGTCCCGGCAGCCCCATGCGAGCATGGAGGGTCAGGCAGCCAGCCTGGGCCTGCCTGGGTCAGGAGAGTGTGCGGGTCCGGAGAGGCCCCCAGAGGCGGCACAGGCTGCCCCAGGCCTGCACCATTCCTCACCTGAAGTCCTCAGTCTAACTAGAAGTTTCCTTGAAGCTCAAAGAGTAAGAGTGAGTTGGCGTCTTCGCAAGCACACCTCTGGGCGGCTCACTCCCAGGACAGGGATTGGCCCTGCCGCTGTCCTTTCTCCTGTCTCCTCCGAGCAAGGGCACGCAGTGCCCCCAGGCTGCTCAAGACGTGCCTGCCAAGGGGAAGCGCTGCCACAGGTGGACACATCTCCAACTGCAGGACGCCCCTGTGGCCCTGTCTCCACCACAGGGCACCAAGCCAAGACTGAGGGCATGACAAGACAGGACGGAACACAAGAGGTGTGTGAGCACAGCTGGATGAGATTGGACCAGCAGCGGCCATCATCCGAGGCTGGCCGCCCAGCGTGAGCCGCGCTGAGCACACGACATGTATTTCTTCATTTGATCTACGAGGCAGGGATTCCAATCCCCACTTCACAGAGCAAGAAACTCAGGACCAAAGGAGGATGGAGACAGGAAACTGAGTCGGTTTTACTGCCAAGTTCGGGTCGTTAAACCGCAAACCCCAAGAGCCCTCCCTGGGGCCAGGCTGCCTGGTCAGAGCTGTGTGACCTGGGGCGGGCCACTCACCTCTCACAGTCTCCCTTCCTCATCTGAGAGCCAGGGATGGGGACAGTCATCACAGCAGTGCCACCTAACAGGGCAGCTGTGGCGATGAAAGGAGCTTCACATGTACAACATTACAGCAGAGGATCTGGCACAGGGGAAGCTTATGAGGCGCCCGCTGCTCTTGTTCTTACTGCCATGGGAATGTCCTCTGTGCAGTCTTCCTAAAGAAGGAAAGGGGGGCCATAGGAGCAAGACAAACCCCACTGGTGCCCTTCTGGGTCCAAGGCTAAAGCGGGTCTCCCCTGGTCCTCCTGGAAAGCGGGCCAGGGCTGGCCAAGGTGCCCCGGGGGGCAGGTTTTGACACCATTGCCTCCAGGGCCTGGGAAGGTTCTCAGGGGCCCCGAGGGGCATGGAGACTGTCTACACACTCTCTCCCCTGCCCTGGGAACAAGGGGAAGGAGGCGAGTCCACCAAATCGTGTGTGTCTGTGTGTCTGTGTCTATATGTGTGTGTCTCTGTGTGTGTCTGTGTATGTCTGTGTGTTTCTCTATAAGTGTGTGTCTGTGTGTCTATATGTGTGTGTCTCTGTGTGTGTCTGTGTATGTCTGTAAGTCTGTATGTGTGTCTGTCTGTGTTTATGTCTCTGTGTCTATGTGCATCTGTGCACCTGTGTGTGCGTCTCTGAGTATCTGTGTGTGTGTCTGTGTGTATGTCTATATGTGTGTGCCTCTGTGTGTGTGTCTGTGTGTTTGTCTCTGTGTCTATGTGCATCTGTGCACTTGTGTGTGTGTCTCTGAGTATCTGTGTGTGTTTGTGTATGTGTGTGGTGGAGGGGAGAGGGGTGACAGGGCTGTGACTTCAGGCCCATTAGCACAAGGCTGTGCAGGTCCAGCAGGGCAGCCTTCCTCACACAGATGCCCCACAGGTGCCACGGCCTGGGCAGAAACTGACCCCCGCCAGGCTTGGCTGGATGGGGAGGGGAGGGGCCAGAAGCAGCCCCCATCCTCCAGCTCTGGACAGCGTGAAGAGTGGCCTGGCTGTGGAGCCCTGCTGGCCCCCGCAGATGGGGTGGGCTGCCAGAGCCGCTCCCTACAGGCTCGGGCGTGTAAACGCGGTGCCCAGCTCCTGGGCTGGTGAGTGGGGTCTACGGCAGCTGCCACTCCAAGCAGAGTCCTAGACCCTCAGAGCCAGAGGGCCCCCTGTACAAATGAGGAAACTGAGGCTGAGAGGATCACACAGCCAGACATCACCCAGCCTGGCCATTCTGAGAGCTCAGCATCTCCTCAGCAAGCTCAGGCATCTCACCCACCCACCCGGAGATCCCCACCCAACCCCGTCAGCCCAGGGATTAGCAGATGCAGGCCTGGGGAGAAGGTGGTGCAGCTTATGGTCTCCATGCACGTGAGCCAGGCCAGGAATGAAACATATCATTATGGCAGGATTAGAAGAAAAATGCTGTTAGAAAACGCTGTGCGCACACACGCATTTAATAAGGTCAGCAGCAGTGAGCTGCAGGCAGGCCAGCAGCATGAGGCCACGGAACCCCTGCCCTCCTCCTCTCACCCAGGCCAGAGGCCACGGGAGACATGGACAGGGCCAGGCCCAGGCCTAGCTGTGGGGAGCAAGAGTTCCCGTCTCCCAGGGCCTGCCCAGCCTGGGTGTACCACCTCCCGACTTCCCGGGGCCACCGGCTTAGACTGGTTCCCAACCTCCAATGTGGAAATTCATTCCCCAGGTCCCCACACCCTCTGGGGTCTGCTCTCTGCCTGCAATGGATGGGCAATGGATCTACTTTACCAAACTATTAATGTGCTATTAATATGCTACCCTCTCTGGAGACATAATGCCCAGGTGACACATACAGTAAGAGGCAGGAAACCTCCAAGGGAACAAGCGAGCGAGTGTGATGGAGGAACTCCAGCCCTCAGGCAGCCCAGGGGCAAGGGGTGTGGGGGGAGGGCACGTCCTCCCCGCTCCCCTTGCCTCCAAGACCCCAGGCCTCCCCGCCACTCATCTCCTCTGGGCTGGCCCTACACCAGAACTTTGCAGCCTGTGGGACTGCTTTGGCCTACAGTGAATCCCCCTTCCCTGAGTTCATGGGGGCCCTCAGTCATTCCCCAGGCCTCAGCCTTAGCTGTGCATCCCCACACATGCCCGGGGGAGCCCACAGTGTACTCAACGATGCACACACTGCAGTCCCACGGGGGTGCTGCGGCACCCAGGATGGGGAAGAAGAGTTCTCTGTGGGTGGGTGTCTCTCAGATCACCCCCCGCCACCCATGCCCCAGCACACGTGGGGAGACCGAGGAGAAGGTAGGGTGTAGGCAGAATGTAACGTGTCTCCCCCACCAGCCAACCGACCATCCCCTACTCCGCTGCTTCATTCATCCTTTCAACCACGCTCACTATGCACCCACCAGGCGCCAAGCCCTGCCCGGGGCTCTGGGGAGGCGGCAGCGAAGCAGACAGACAGGCCGAGCCCCAGGAGTCGAGGGAGGAAGATACTCACAGCTCCGTGGACCTGGACAGGATGGCCGACACGGTGAGCAGGACGCATCCGTGGGGGCCCGCTTCAAACTGGGAAGAGGAGAAGGGAGTGAGCCCCCATCAGGTCTGCTCCCCGCTCCTCTCCCCTCCTCGCAGGCCACACCCTAGGGAGCAGCCTGACCCTGAGCCAGCTGCCTCCAGCCGGGTCCCAGAGGATGGCAGGTGGCCCCAATGGCAGACCCCACGCAGGTCTCACCAACCAGATGCTCTAAAGGATGGGGAGCACACCAGCCTGAGTGACCCTGGGAGCAGACACAGTGCCCACCAAGGGGCACGCACGCGACTGCTGAGTCCTGGAAGCTCACAGCAGCAGGCAGGGCAGGTGCCTTTCAAGTGCAAGTGTCTCGTGCACATCATCCCACTAAAACTCTCACAGGCTCACAGGAGAAGCACTTATTGCTGCCCTCTGCCATGCAAAGGCCCTGGGGCTCAGAAGTTGAGCGACTGGCCCGAGGTCCCCCAGCTGGTAAGAGGCCCAGTGGGATTCCTGGGGCTCCTCCTGATTGCACATTCCTTCCTTTGAGGAACTGTGCTGTGCTGAGAGCCCAGAGAGCAGGTTTGGAGCACAGTCGGGTCGGAGGGCATAGTGAGGTGAGCAAGGGCAGATCCTGTCTCTTTAAAATTTTTCATATTTTATCCATCATGGATTTTTTTGGATGGATACTTTTTAAATATTGCATTAAACTATTATTTATGCTGATTACTGAGGTTTTCCATACGCCCCTTGAATTTTGCGCCCAAGGCGAGCACCTCGCTCGTCTCCCCCTGGTCCAGACCCCAGTGTGGAGCCCAGAGCCTGGAGCCTGGCTGCCTGGGTTTAAGTCCTGGCTCTACCACTCCCACAGGGACATTTCTTAACTTCTCTGTCCCCAGTCTTCTCATCTGTCAAACAAGGACAATAATAATAGGACCCACCTACCCTCCTCAGGTTGTTGTGAAGATTAAGTGAGAGCATCCTTGTACAGCCCTTAGAACAGGGCCCAGCACCCGTGTTAGCTGTCAGTATGCTGGCTCCTCACCGCCTACCTGTTCAGCGAGCCCAGCAGGCCACAGCCTAGTGGGATGGACTATGTCACTTTCACTCCCTGGAGAAATGCCATCCCCCAACTGCAAATCAGTGTGAAGACCTTACTCATCCCTTTTTGGAGATGATACCACTTCTTGTGAACTGCTGTTAAGGATGCTGCCTATTAAAATAGCCCATGTTGAAAAAATATTTGCAAGTCATATATCTGACAAAGGCTTAATATCCATAATATATAAAGAACTCTCGCAACTCAACAACAAAACATCAAACAACCCAATCAAAAAATGGGCAGGAGACATGAACAGACATTTCTCCAAAGAAGATATACAGATGGCCAATAGGCACATGAAAAGATGCTCATCATCGCTGATCATCAGGGAAATGCAAATCAAAACTACACTGAGATATCACCTTACACCCATTAGAATGACAAAAATATCGAAAACTAATAGTAACAAATGTTGGAGAGGTTGCGGAGAAAAAGGAACCCTCGTACACTGCTGGTGGGAATGCAAACTGGTGCAGCCACTATGGAAAACAGTATGGAGATTCCTCAAAAAATTAAAAATAGAACTACCATACGATCCAGCCATCCCACTACTGGGTATTTATCCAAAGAGCTTGAAGTCAGCAATCCCAAAAGTCCTATGCACCCCAATGTTTATTGCAGCATTATTTACAATAGCCAAGACGTGGAAGCAACCTAAGTGCCCAGCAACAGATGAATGGATAAAGAAGATGTGGTACATATATACAATGGAATACTACTCAGCTGTAAAACAGAACAAAATCATTCCATTTGCAGTAACATGGATGGACCTTGAGGGAATTATGTTAAGTGAAATAAGCCAGTTAGAGAAGGATAATCTGTGTATGACTCCACTCATATGAGGAATTTAAAATTATGGACTAAGAACAGTTTAGTGGATACCAGGGGAAAGGTGGGGTGGGGGGTGGGCACAAAGGGTGAAGTGGTGCACCTACAACATGACTGACAAACATTAATGTACAACTGAAATTTCACAAGATTGTAACCTATCATTAACTCAATTAAAAAAAAATAGCCCATGTTCCTTATGTGTGATCAGTTTCTTTTTGTGCATAAAACCAGGAAAAAAAGCTCACTTTCCTAGAACAATGAGAATAATATAACTTATCATGTTTCCATGTTTGCCGTGGCTGCCGGGAAGCTCAGAGACCAAATACAGTATTCAACTGTGGTAACTATTTCAGCTCAAGCTTCTGATAAAATTATCTTTTCTTTTCCTCAAAATTATTTTCATCCAGTAATTCAATTAGTCAGTCACTCAAAAAAAAAATTACTGAGTGAAATTTCTGTGCCAAGAGGATGCTCCTTGCTAAGGCTATACTTGTGAACAAGGTGGACATGGATCCGCCTTCACGGGGAGTAACTCAGTGAAGAAAGAACAATAAGCACCTTGAAAAGGGTGAGGAAGCTCTGCTCTGATGGGAAACACACAAGAAGGGCCTTCAACAGACTTGGGGTATAGGGAGGAAGGGGTATCATGAAAGGCTTTCTGGAGGAAGTGGTGTCTAAATAGAAACCAAGGGACATGGAGGAATCAGAAGAGAAAGGAACACTATTGCAGATAAGACAAAAGGCATGTGCAAAGGCCCAGAGGCAAGCGAGGGCAAGTTTACTATGGTTGAACACAGAAGAGCCCTGAGCTATGTCATTTTTTGTAAGCAACTTCAAATCTTTTTTTGGAAGTAGAAATGGAATGAATGAATCAACCACAAGCTTCCATCAACCTTAGCTTAATTCTGTGATCTCAGGCTAGGCACTTCACTTCTGTGGTCCTCAGTTTCCCCATTTGTAAAACAAGGTTAATGAATACCTACTTTGCATATTTCATGGGCTCCATGTCTGTAGAAGTGCTCTGATAACTGCAAAGAGTAATGCTGATGTCCCTGCACAGGGGGACATTGGCCCAGGAGGACCTGAGCCACCAGCACCCTTGTCACAGCTCCACTACACACCTGCATGTCACCCTAGGGAGTGGCAAAGCTCTCTTAGTCTCAGCTTCCTCTTCTGGACTTTCATCTCACCTTGGGGAAGTCACGGACTTGCATGTCGCCTTAGGGAAGTCACAAATCTCTCTTAGTCTCAGTTTCCCCTTCTGGAATGCCTACCTGCTTCTGCCATGGACTTGGGCCCTGTCGTGGGGCAGCCAGGCAGTTTCGAGGTCTGCCTCCCCTCTGCCGTGCCTGCAATGCATACCCACTTGCAGGACTGCAATGAAATAAGGGACACGAGCTCTTACATGAGTAAGCTCTAACTCTCTCTGTCAATGTGGAGAATTCTTGTTACTGCTTGGACCAGCATTTCCAGTCCTTGGAGCACCTTCAAGGGGGTCTCACTGCGGGCCCTGGATATGCCCCTGCACGTGGTCTGGTTAGGTGTGACTGCAGACGAGAGGGAAGGAGCCCTGGCCCTTGCAGGAACACAACTGAATGGCACCAATATTCCATTTTGTTTTAAAAAACATTTATTAAAATTATTTCATCAGATTCAAGCTGCCAAGACATGGGAGGCCACAGGGCAAGGCGCCTGCATTGAAAGGCGAGCTCAAGCAGACAACTGGGCAGGAAACCATCGTTAGGGTCTGGAAAAATGTCTGGTGCCGCTTGGGAAGAAGGGGCCATTCTCCGGTGCGGCTGGGGCCCTGGAGAGACCTCAGTCCACGAAGGACCTCCAATCGGAGGCAGGGGCAGGGGCACCCCAGCTCGCGGGGCAGGGGGCCCTCCAGACACCTCGCCCAGAGGGTGAGCGGTAATGAAAACACCGCGAGGAGTCTATTTATTCTGGGCAGAGAAGTTCGGTGTTCATTTCCAGGCCTGGCACGAGGAGCCCCACTTAGGCCCAGGCCATGAAAAATGGATTTGGTAAGAGCAGTGCTGAGGCAGCTCAATGCCTTCCAGCAAAAACATAAATTAAACTGCAGGGGGAAAACATGGCCTTCCAGAAGGAGGCGGGCCGGATATTGACTGCTTGTACCCAGGGACTAAAGTCGGGTAGGCGGGGACCTGCTCTGAGCCCAGAGGCAGGACAGAAGGAAAGCGGCTGCTTCCCCTGGTGGAGGCTCCACCCTTGACCTCTTTCACGGTCTCTATCTTGCTTGGGCTCCACCAAAATCCTGGGGGTACAGGCCCGGAGGATGGAGTCCCCATCTGACAGACAGGATACACAAGGCCTTTGCACAGAGGGGCCACCTTGGGGCCATGAGTGGGCAGTGATGCAGCCTCAGAATCTGGGGCCTCTGAGAATCACCGCGGGCCCCTCCTTTGCCCCCTAGAAACCTCCCAGGGCACTTCCCTCTCCCGGCCTCGGTGGCTCCACGCTCTGCTTCCCCTGATGTGGGAACACAGGTGCCCCCCAGTCCCCACCTCCTGGTCAGATGGCACTCATGGACGCTATCAGGCTTTGCTCGTCTCTCAGATGCGCTGCTGTATTCTCACAGCTCTCTGGGTGGATTTAATTGTAGGGTCCTCTCTGCGTATTTAGAAAGGCTGGTACTTAGTTTGGAAAACATTCTTTCCCATGTGTTTAAGTTTCTTTTTAAGAACCACGGTTAGACTGTAAAGGGTTAGAAGTACTTAGATAACTGCTCCATCCTCCATTTTCCAGATGAGGCAACTGAGGCCCAGTGACCTACCTGAGGCCACAGGTGACCAAGAAATAGGCCAGAGGAGGTCCCCGGGCCCCTGCTCAGCAGCCCGCTCCCCAGGACACCTTGGCCTGGCCCCTCTCTGACACCAGAGCCCTCCCACACACCTCCCAGACAGGCCAGCAGAGCAGCCAGAGCAGAAGGCAGCATCCTACGTTGGGCATCCAGGCCAGGCGCTGGGCCTCTCCTTGGGCTGAGTCCACCCTGAGGCCCCAGGTCTGGGGGATCAGCACCCCAGTGACCACACACCTGCCTCCCGGGGTCTCAGGGTAGGCCCTGTCTTCCAACACGACAGCATGCCTGCTGTCAGGGCCGGGACCTGCCGCAGTCCTCGGGGAATTGTGCGGGGGAGGGTCTTCTGAGAGCAGGAGTGTCAGGCCTGGTCCCATATCCGGCAAGTTCTCTCACCCTCCAGGCTCACCACCAAATCATCTAACGCCCTCCTGAGGCCTCAAAGTCCCCACGGCCCAGAAGGCCGAAAGGAAGGCCAAGAGGAGGCACGAGAGCATGCATGCCGGCACATGGAGAGAGACGGGCTCGGCCCTCTGCTTGCCTGCACCCCTGACACACAGACGAACTGTCAGCCCTGTAGCCGGGGACTCCAGAGGCCATCAGTCTCATGGCCTCGGCTCACGCTGCACCCTCTCTCTCTAATGCTTCCCTCTCATTCCCAGTCTACAAGCAACCCATCTCATGGTTGCCCGAAATAATGATGACGATGGTGGCCACGGTTTCCACCACAACAGTGAGCAATCACTGAGAACATGGAGCAGGGCACATGGCGCCAGGCCCTCGGCACAGCACTCTGAGGTGGGCCTTTATTATCACTCGTATTTCACAGGTGAGGAAACTGAGGCACAAAGGGATTAAGTAAGTTGCCCAAGGTCACAGAGCTCCTCAGGGGTGTAACATAGAAGCAAACCAAGGCCCATGGCTCCAGAGACTGTGTTCTTTACCCCGGAAGCATTCAACTCCCTCCTCTGCAAAGCCAGCGAGGCTGCAGCCCTACCCTGAGTTCCCTCGGCCCTTTGATGGGGCTGTTCCCAGGCCCCAGCGCATTCCGCCCCATCTCACAGCCAGGAGGGGATGCACAGCTCTCCTCCAGCAGACACGGTGCTCCAGAGGCCCCACCTGGCCTGCCCTGCCTCCTGGGACACCAAACGAGGTCTCCATCAGTGGTGCTCAGACCTCCAACCCAGCCCAGGAATCGAGATTCTAGTCCCCTCTCCAGTTGGTGCTGGACCCCTCACCGGCGAAGGGTTCTTTACTTCCAGAGGGGCTGCTTCCCCTGGGACAGAGAGAAAGCTCTCAATCCACAGGCTGATGGCTGCGTCCCTTCACCAGGCCCCGCTCCAGCCCAGCCCTGCTTTCCCAGCCCCCACTGTGGCAGCACCCTTTGCCTTGTAGTCATGGCCGGCCCTCAAGGATGCGATGGCAGAGACTGGATCCCTTGCTCCCCAAGCCCACTCTTCTCCAGCCTAAATCACCCCGCTGCCCTCGGCCATGGCACCCAGGGCCAGCACCAGCTCCTTCCCAGCCTCTCCACCCCTCACCCCACCAGAAGGGGATGTGGGGGGGACAACTCCCGTTCACCAGCATCTCTTCCACAAAGAAAGTAGAAGGCTTACCAATGCACATCCCACAAAATAGATCACTGTTCATACCTGATGGATGCTCTGTTGAAGAAAAGTCACCAGCTCCTCATAGCAGGTCAAACTATGGAGTATGAGCTGGGAAGACACAAACACACAAGGTGAACAGCCCAAGCCCTGTGGGCGGTGCCCTGTCCTGGCTCAGCTTCCGCGGCCCTGGTTTCAGCAGATACAAAATCCCACTTAGGAATGTCCCTGCAGAGCGGCGACCTCAGGACCCTGTTGGGGTCTCTGGGGTTAAGTCTGTCCTGTGGCAGCACTGGGCCTACCTTTAGAGGCCCCAGGATTGGAGTCATCATGGGACTAAAGCCAAGGAGCCAGCACCGTGCGTGAGTTAGGCTATCTGAGAAGCCCCTGGAGTGGGGGGAGCAAGGGGTACGGGGCGGGTATCCCATCCAAACCGCCATCGCCAGGCCAGTTCCAAGCCCAGCAGGCAGCATCCTGAGTTCAGTGGGAAGCAGTGGTTACGAGGCTACTTCACTTTCTCAGGTGGGTCAGGAAAAAACACATTTAGAGAAAACATCCAATGGAGTGAGACCCTTCATTAGGATCCCAGGGCCTCGCGTGCCCAAACCTAGGTCAAATGAAACAACCTAGGTAAAACAAAAATGAAGTGAAGAGGAGGCTAATTTATGGAAAATGTCGCTGTTTCTGTGTTTGCGCACATCTCTCATTTATTCCCCCTTTCTTCATCTGTCTGAGGTTTAGCTTTGTGGCTGGTGCTCTATCCTATCAAAGCTCTTCTCTACCTTCTAACATCCTCTCCCCTCCAGACCACCCCCCACCACCCTCTCAAAACAATCCCAGAGAGGATGCTGAAGACATACAAAGAGGGACACAGAGAAGGCTGGGGTTGAGCCAAAAGGCTTTATGTATGGACCACAGGGGGAACTTCAGGCTCTGTACAACCTCGACGTGACAGGGCATCCATCAGCCTTTTGGCCATAAAGCCAGTTCTGGCAACAGCCCCTTCACCCCCCACCCCCGCCCTGCCCCAGGTGGAGGGCACTGCTGGTCTGGGATGCAGTTAGGGCTGGCCCATCCCAGCTGAGGAAGGATTTACTTATATGAAAGGAGACCGTTCCCCAACAAAGCCAAGGTTGCGTGATAATTTTCCAGAAAGCCGTACTGTTTCTAAGACTCCATCTGCTTTGTATTTCCCCGTTGGACTGAACTGCTGTGCTCCTGAAGCCCTAAAAAGGAAAGGGAGATGCATGAGGCCTCTGCAGGAAGAGAAGACATGCCCTCGAGCCAGGGCGAAACCACATGCGCCGTTCAGGGAGGACAAATCAAAGGTGGCTCCCGAGGAAAGGAAGTGGCCAAGGGTTTCTTGTTTTTACCCACTTTGAACTCACCCTCTAGGCTGGGTCTACAGAACTCCACTAACAGGAGGGGAAAAAAGGAATGGAGGGCAGCAGACGGAGGGCCCAAGACAGTGAGACCCAAGTCCTGCAGTCGGGAGCCTGCCTCTCACCCACAGCCGACAGGATTCCCAGACTGAGGAATGCTGACTCGCCCTTTGTTGTCTGGCATGTGAGGAACCCCGGCCTCCGTCCTCTCTGAGGCTCCCCACCTCGTCAGCATCTGTTCACACAGCACCCTCAGTGTGCAGCCCAGTGAGGCATGGACCACAAGTGGGGGTTGGGTTTGGGGCCCATGGTGCCATTAGCCCGCTGTGTAGCCTGGGAACAGCCACTGCCTCTCTCTGGGTTTCTGTTTCCTGGTCTGTAAAACAGGGAGAAACTGAAGTTTTGCCCCATGTGCTCTCAGGGCTGCCCTGTAGATCCTAATGGCTGGAGTCAGTAAGTTAACTGGAACACCGGTCCCAAGGACAAGCAGCCAATAGGAACAATAACAATAATGATGATAACGCCCAACATCCACATGATACTCAGTATGTGTCAGACATTGTCCTAGGTGCCTCACACTTATCATCTATCATTTATTTATATGGATAAGTGATTTAAACTGATAGATAATATTATCATTTATTATGTACCATTTTATTTATAGACTCATTTAATTCTCATAATCACCCGATTAAGTAATCATCATCCCCATTTTCCAGATGAGTAAGCAGATGAGGCGCAGAGAGGTTGAGTCAATTGTCCAAGGTCACACGCCCAATAAGCAGTGGTGTTGAAGTCACCCTCTAGACTCCATTCTCTTAAGCACTGTGCTCTACTGACCACTGTGCCCACCAGAGTGTGGCCCTTGGCCCCAAAAGCACCCCCTTTACTAAAGCTTAGCCACATGGCTGGGACGAAGTGATGCTTCCATTCTGAAGGGTCAGGCTGAAGAGCGGGCAAACCATCCGTGTGGACTACAAGGATGGCATCCTCCGTCTGGGGTAGGACAGAGGCAGCAGGGAAAAGCCCCCTCCACCACCAGCCGCTCACCCCTCTGGGTCTCCTCCTCACTGGAACGGGGATCCATGTGACAGAGCAAACGGGAACATGCTCTGGGGACTGGGGAGAGCAGTATAGATTGGCGGGGTGACCAAGTCAACTGAGAGGCTGTTTCGGAGGCCTCCGGATCAGAGAAATACTGAGGAGAGCAGGCTTCCCGGGCCAGAGGTTTTCTGGGGCAGGTGACGTCCCTGAGTTCCCCAAGGAGGAGGCAGGGCAAATCTAACCCCATCCCGAGACGAGCACAGAGCTGTGTGGAGGGCCTGAGCCCTCTCCCAGTGCAGGGCTGCCCACCACAGCAGGCTGACTCTCTGGGCTCGTCCCAGCACAGGGCCCAGGGCAGGGGTCTGAGAGGACACACAGATGTGGTCCCTAACCCCGATGTCCCAGGACAGGAAAGCACATAGCCAGCTTGCCTGCAGCTCTGCCAGCCCGCGGTTGAGCGGCAGCACACAGCCCTCAGAAGCACTTACAGTGTGACCACGGCTCTCTCGTGGCCCCCAGCCCGCCACACAATGTCCGCAATGGCCAGGGCGAGGCAGTGGGTCCTGTGGGCGTTTGAAGGCTGCAGCTGCCTGGGGAGAAAAAAGGGAATGTGTTTACGTCTATGGGGACACCAGCCAGGGATGCCGCAGCCCTGCAGCAGACAGCTGTCCCTTCCTCTGCCACCCAGAGGGGCCCCTGTGGCCTGGGACTCCAGCAGCGTGTGGGAGGAGCGGTCTCCTCACAGGAGAACCCAAGGAAGAGCCTGGAGGGAGGGTTTGGGCGGGGCTGGAGGAGGAGCAGACCAGGAAACCCCACAGGGAGCAAAGGGGACTCCGGAGGGTTGGCCGGGCCTGAGGCGTGCGTCAGACAGGGCCCGGCGTTCTGACAGAGCCCAGGGGGCCAAGCCGACGTGCTTCAACACTGCTGCCATCCCAAAGAGAGAAAGTCATCCCAGGCAGAGGCACGCCACTGCCCTGCCCCGGGCTCGGCCAGTCCCACGTCTGGGCCCCCAGAGACAATGGCTCCTGCAAGAAGGTGCCCTTCACTCCCACCAGCCGGTAGGAAATGAGACCACAGGTGGGAGGGGAAAGCAGCCTGGTTACCTAGATACAGGGCGTGGGGGTGCGGGAGAGGAAGGATTCAGGATGACCTCCGGGTGGGCTCATGGTGGTACGGCCAACTAAAATGAGGAAGACAGGGTGGGGAGGAGAACTGGGGCAGGCAGCTGGGGGTGCACTGGGACCCCCAGGAGAAGCTGTAGGACACACCGAAGCCCCAGGAGAGCTGTCAGGGCTGAGTATAGGTTTACTAGCCACCAGCATGTGAGGAGTTGGCACTCTGAGAGGCTAAGATTTCCCAGAGAGAAGATGAGAAAGGGAGAGGGGGCGGCCAAGGACGGAGCCCCGGAGAACTCCAGCGTATGGGGGAGGTGGAGGAAGGCAGGAAGAGGCAGAACTGGGGGACAGTGCCGGTCCACAGATTTAGGAGCAAAAGGGCTCTAAGGACGGGCAGTCAGCGGTGTCAAAAATGGCAGAGAGATCTCTTTCGATAAAAACGGTAACAGAGAGGCCCCTGGGGCGTGAAGTGAACGAGAGAGAAGAGGCAACTGGCAAACAGGCTTCTTTCAGTTTCACATTCCCAGGGCCCCTTAGAGCTGAACTTCTGGCCTTCTCCTCTGAAATTTTTCTAAATTCACACAAAAGCAGGCAGAGTGTTTCCCTTCCTAAGAAACAAAAAGGCCTTGATGAAGACCCTGCTGAGGCTCAAAGGAATACAGAGAGGAGTTTCCATGTTTCCAATCACCAAGCTGAGCTGCGGAGGCGGAGAAAGAAAACTGGAGTTTTGCCCCTCCTCTTCAGGGTAGGAAAATGGGAACCAGGAGATCAGGACACAGGTCACCGTGGTAGGCAGCATGCGGTCACCACCAAGTGCCTGGGTGGCCTGGGACACAGAGCCGGCGGTCTGCACCCAGGCTCTTGTGGTCCAATGACTTTAAAATGGGAGGCGACGTGACACAGCGGTCCCTCAGTTTCCCCATCCATAAGCTGGCAATGACAATACTACCTCCTTCATAATGTTGGGAGCTTTAAACGAGACGATGTTTGTAAGGCCCACAGCCCAGCGCCTGGCACATGGTGAATGTTCAATAAAGGGGACCTATTACTACTGTCTTCATGGAAACGTCAGGGTCCCACTTGGGCTGCGGCGACGGGAAGGTGAACCCCAACATCTGATGTGAAAGTGACAGCAAGGGCCTGGCACCAGGGATTCCTTCCAACCCAATGAGACAACAACAAGCACTCGACCCCTGGAACCACAACACGGCAGGCTGCCGGGTACTTCTGCAGCCGCGGGAAGCCTTCCATGCTCCTCGAGGAGACGGTTACCATGCCATCACCAAACCGAGCCTCCCGCGCTGTGGGAGCACTGGCCCGGGTCACCGCCAACTATGAAAACAAAGGTGAGGAAACTGGGTTTCAGAAGAGGACAGGCCGAGGACTAGGGGGCCAGGAAAGCAGGGCTTGTCAGACAAAAGAGAAAGCATTGAGTGTTTCTCTCTTTGGACTCAGAACCCAGGAACGTGAACTCCATCATCCCCACACCCCGTTTCCATCCCTTCCAGATGACCACCATGTCCTGTCAATCGCATCCCACCTCCTGAGTACCCACACCCACCCCCTTCCTGCCCCTCTCTGGGACCTGGGTGCCCTGCTCCTCTGCTGAGCTGTTACGGCCAGTGCCTGACAGGTGCTTCCGCTCCATCTGGTCCCTCTCTCTAACCCTCATTGCACATACTCACCAAGGACTGTGCCTACAACACAGATGTGAGCTGGGTACTCCCCAGTTAAGACCCTTACCATGGGTAGGGGTTGTACAAAATTATGCCTGGATTGTACACTCTGCCTAGAACACCTATGCTGGAAAACCTCCAGACGTGGAACTAAGAGGCCACCTTTCAAACACTCACTGCGTTCTACACTAACTGACGGAAGCCGGTAATGCTCGATGGAAAGCTTCTCAGCGTAGCGACAAGTAAGACTTTAAAAGCTGACATATCCTGGGTACTCACCATGTGCCAGGCACCATGAGAAGCACTTCACATGCATCATTTCATTAACTGTTAAAACCACCCTATGAAGGAGGTACTATTATTGTCCCCTTTTAAAATGGGGAAACTGAGGCACAGAGACTCAATGATTCACCCAAGGTCACAGTTAGTAAAAACTGGAAAAATTAAAACAGGATTAAGGGAGGAAGGAGAACTTGGAGAGGTGGAACCGCCTGGAGCTCTTGGCTCTAGGAACAAGCATCCCTCTGCCTTCAAGCTTATCTTTCCGGCACCATGCAACAAGACCAAGGGCCCTGGCTTCCTCATCTCACGGGCTCTAATACAGACCCCTGAACCTCCGGGTTTCTACACAAACTAAGATGATGTGTGTAAGGTCCACAGCCCAGGTCCACAGTCTACATTCTTTTCACTGGTTTCCATTTAGTAACTCTGCCAGTCTCTCCACCCCTCCCTGGGGCTTCTCTGCATGCTCTTTTGAGATACAACTTTTCAGACAACGCAGAGGTAAGGCCTAGGTCACAGGCCTGGGGAAGCCCCTTGCCCTCACTGGCCTTCACCTCCCCACCTGTAAATGCGGGCGCTGGGCCAGATGCTCCTCAGCACCATTCCAGTCCTGCCATTCTGCCATTTAACCAGCCCCAGGGTAGACAGGGCTGAGCGCTCGTGCAGCCAAGAGGAAGGGCTGCTGTGTGAATCCCCCAGACTCCACCTTCACCAGACAACTCAGTGTCTGCTTTTACTAGCCACACCTCGGTGACCAAGATGGTCCTGCGCCGCCTTGATCAGTCAGACCACATTTATCAAACTCCTACCATGACTCTAGCACTTGGCCAGGCTCTTAAACCAAGAGAAGTTTCTTTAGGAGTCTAGCTCCTCGCAGAAGTGCAGGCTGCCTAGGGATGGCAGTGGGCACGCGGAAGCAATATATCCTGTGTTTGCCTAAATTACCCAAGTCTTTCAGGTTAAAGAGATGTTTCTACCCTAATTATCTCAAAACAGCCTCACCTGTCCACTCTGACATGCCCACGAGTTGGAATTTATAGAAAATTCAGAGGAAAGCTGGACAATGAATGGAGGTCGGTTAGTCCATCCTGTCGGCTCCCTCTCAGGATCAAAAGCCGTTGGAGAGGGGTGGACAGAAGGCTGGCCTGAGGAACACTGGACCTGGGTTCCAAGCCTGGCTCTGTTACTGTTGTCCAGAGAAAGCTTGGGCAAGTGCCCCTCCATCTCTGGGCCTTGAATCCCCCAATTTCAGAAGGGAAGTGGAGGTGAGAAGACAGCCTTTGTCTCTGGCTCGCTGGAGGTCTGCAGGGGAATGAGGCTCGTCGTCTCTTCCCATAAGAAGAGCCTCAAGTGGAAAATCACTGAGTCCTCCTTCCCGGCTCTGTCGTTCCCGATGAGGAGAGGCCGGCTGCCGGCCTGATGGAATGAGTCTTAATGAAGCCAGACAGTCCTACAGAAAAAACAGCCCCCTGCCAAGAAGCTTTTATTTCAGCATGACTTCCCTGGAGGGCGCATCACACCCTCCATGCCGCTTTCACGGAACCACTTCCCCATCGGTCCAGGGAGAGAGTGAGGAGGGAGCCCCCAGCACCCAGGCCTACAGACCCAACGTAGGGAGGCCCACAGGTCCTGGAGGCCTGCGAGGGCCCGGAGGACAACAGCTGCCGAGCTGTGGCATGCCAGGCCATTGCGGTGTTCCTGAAGAGAACAGGAGGTTGCCTACTCGGTTTTTTTTTTGTTGTTTTAAACTGGATCATTTCTGAAATCCTGGAATTATAGAGTCAAAAGGGAGTACTGAGGCTCAAACCCAACTCAGTACACACGGCCCGCGCAAAAACATCAACAACTCAGTCAATTGACGACTGAGCAGTCCTGCCAAGATGGCAGTGTCCCGTTGGCTCACGGGAAGCAGTGGGTCCCCAGGTGTTTGCTGTGTTAGTCTCTGTACTCTTCTGTGTTGATTTCTTCCAAAGTAGGAAAAAAAGGAAGGTTCTCCCCAGAAGCCCTTCGTAAAATACCAAGCCACACCTTGGTCACTGAGAGTCTGTCTGGGTGTGCAGCACTTGGGTCTTTCAAACCCATGACACTCTGCCTGCCAGCGCCGGCCCTTCTGGCCTCTCTGGCTCTCCCATTGCTCAGGGTCTCCTCTAGGGCACAGCAGCAATGTGTGACCAACATGGCATCAGGTACCAGGCTTTGCTCTGCCACGGATGCCAGGTGTGACCCTGGGCAAGCATCTTTCCCTCTGTGAGCCTCAATTTCCCCATATGTACCACTGCAGGAGACTTCTATGGTCTTACCCGCTTGCACAGCCCTTGACGATTTACAAAGGACTTGTGTGCATTTCCTCACTGAGTCAGACTTAGGCAGGACCAAGACCCACAAACGGAGGAAGTAAGGCACTGCTCCCCCGCACTGCAATCGGGGTCTCTGACGTGGTCCAGCACTGTCTTCAGCACCTCCTGCCCCGCGACGAGCTAAGGAGTGCAGAGCCAGGCACTCCCCCACCCTCAGCCTCAGCACAGGGCACTTATAGGCTACCCCAATGCCCACCTGGCAAGGACGACTCTCTGTGGCCTCTGACCTGCTGGGCCTCACCTCAGCAAAGCAGCAACCCAGACTGGCTCTTGTTTCCTCCTCTGCTAACAGCTCTGAGCTCTGGACTCCACTGGTCTTTGCTTGAGGCAAGTCCTAGCCTGAATCCAGGAGGGCTCTCCCCTCCCACCCTACTCGCCCCTCAGTCCCCAAGGCAGGCTCATGACCCCCAAAGCCAGGGCAAGGGAAGTAGGAGGAGGAGACACAGGATGGGAGGGGCATGGAGGCATCTGGTGCCCCTTGCTCATGGCCCATCACCACTGGAACCACCTCCAGCTTGTGCCCCTCAGAGCCACCTCTTCCTAAGTCCCCTGGGGCATTTTCAGTAGCCCTGGCTGGACAAGAGAGCCCAGGTCACTGAGCCAAGTGGTCCTCTCTTCCTTCTCTGAGGAGTATGAAGAATGCGCACTCTCAGGCCTGCTCTACAGTCTGTGGGAGAAGTGAGCTGGCCCACTATGCTCAGCCTGCATGGAAAGCCGCTCTGTGTGCAGGGCCTGGGGCAGCAGGGGGTGGGTGTGCAAGAGGAGAGGGATTTACAAGGACCACCCACAGTTGTGGGCCTCCAAAGAAAGGTGAGGTCACTCTTTTGCAGCATGAATCCTTCCATGCTTCCTGGAGGAGGGGGCTGTGGCCAGCAGGCCAACCTCTCCCAGCTATTTGGCACAGACCTCCTCTGGTCCTGCCAGGCAGCTTTCCCCCCAGAGTGGGGCTCCTTCCCACAGGTATATCCCTACACAGAATCCCCAGCAGCTACTTCTCCCCTCTTCTCCCTCTTCCCACCCCACCACTGCCCCCAGAACCCAGCTCAGTCTCATGAGGCCAGCCTCCAAGGGCCTTTAATCCAGGCTGGCCCCAACTCCTCTCTCAGGGTCCCAGTTGACGGGGAGCCTGGAACCAAGGCTGCATTCCCTCCTCCCCTCCCCCCCCAGGAGAGCTTTGGCAGAACTCTCCATCTAGTTGATGCTTAGATAGACACATGTCAATATAAACTGGGCCCAAGTCAGTGCCTGGCCAGTGGCTGACTGGCAGGCAGCGAGAGGTGGCTGAGAACCTCACTTCCCACAGCCGGCACAGATTCCTTTCTACTCAGAGCCTGCCTTAGCCCCCAACGTGCCTGGCCTTCTGCCTGCCAAGCCCTGGCTCCCCTCTCTGGTGTGGAGAGCAGAGCTCTCCCCCAGGGATGTGCCTGGGGATCCAGGCCTCTCACATCCCTTAGTCCAGGTGTTGGATGGGTGACAAGGAACCAAGTCTGCCCTGTGCCCCAGGCAGAAATAGCCCTTCCTGGAACCAACTTAAAACGCCCTGTCTTGACTGTTGGGAAATGATCCACAACTTCCCCCAAGAAGTCCAAAGTCCAAGTTCAAAAGCAGCTCTGAAGGGGCACAGGGCTGAAATGAGTTATGAGCCCTCTCCCACGAGGGCCAAGGCCAAGGCTTGCCCTGAGCAGGCGGCCGGGCCCGAGGCCCCTCTGGCAGCCTAGCTGACCCATCTCCCAGCCCCGGTCTCACCCTGTCCCTCCAAACTCTGCCCTGGCCACCCCAGGCAACTGTCTACTCCTCTCCTGGCCCTGTTCTCGCTGACCTTGGGCCTCTGCACACACTGTTCTCCTTACTGGAATGCCGTTCATTCCCCTCCCCTCCGTTAGACTGGATAACTAATGTATTTGTCCATGCGTTCACGCCACAAAAATTCTGAGGGCCTCTTCTGTGGGCTGGATGCCAGGGACGGGCTCTGAACCAGGCAGCCCAGGAAAGCCCCTGTTCCATGGTGCTGGTGTTCTCAGGGGACGGGTGGGGGCGGACAGTGACAGGTAACAACGCTGATGAACAAGGGCACCAACCGGTGGGGAGGCCTTGAAGCAGGCCCGGGTTTGTCTCCAGTGGGGAGGTCAGGTAAGGCCTCCCTAAAGTCATGGCCTCTGCACAGTGAGGAGCCAGCACCCAGGGCCTAGTGGGCCCAGGAAGGAGTTTGAGGGATCTGCTGGGAAGGAGGAAACTGAGGGAGGAACGAGCTTGCACAAGGATGTGTGTACAGGGGAATCAGGAGTCCTATTTATCCTCCAGATCTCAGTGAGATTAAAATGCTACTCCTCGAGGAAGCCTGCCCAACCCTCTTCAGGTCAGGTGAACCCTTAGCATCCTGCACAACCCCTCTAAGCTCCTGTCTATTTGTCTGGCTCTCGTGTTGAATCGTAGGTGCCATGAAGGCAAGGCCACAGCTGTCTCAAGCCTGCTATTCCCTGTCAAGCACCTGCTAAGCACTTCCTGCCTGCTCCTTTTCCCTGCAAGCAGGGAAGGCAGGCAGCTGGGTGTATGTGTGCTCGGAGTCCGGGCAGCCTTTGAGGGCAGCCAGAGGTCCCTCACTTAGCGAGTTCCACCCAGTCAGGAGTGTTCCTGAAATGGAGCACTGTGCTGGCCTCTCCGGGAGAGTCGATGGCAAGGTCTCCGCCCATGACGTAAACCCAAACCTCTCAGCACTTTGCTGGGCTGGCCTTCCAGAGCGGGTGGTGGGGGATGGTCCTGCACAGACAGGAGCAGCAACGGATGGAGCCGGCGGGGCAGCAAGAAGAGCAAGGGCAAGGTGAGATCACGCTGTGGAAATGTTATGTCGCTGTGCCTCTGGTTACGGTGATGCTGCGCTTCTGGTCAGCATCTTTGGCTTGAGAGGAAACACCTTGACTATTACTTTGTCAAGAAATTAGACAAATTATATTATTAGATAAATTATAAAATGCCAAGCATGAAAAGCTACCTTACTTAGACCTTGTCGAAGGCAAAATCCTTTACGCTGGCAAAATGTGTTTCATTTGTACCGAGCTTGGCTGGATGTGTGGGGACCAGGTTCTCTCCCGGGAATCTGAACATGAATAAATGGGGAATGAGCCTCGTCTTTACTACACCTAAGCTTAAAAAAAAGGAGGGAGACACTGAAATGCCCATGTCAAAGAGCAAGTCCCTTTAATTAAAGTTCAGGAACTGGCAAAACTAAGCTGCGGTTTTAGAATCCATTTAATTACAACTTATAGGAGGAGAATGGAGGTATCTACTGGACAAGAGGATTCTTCCAGGGTGCTGGAAATATATTCTTTCTTGACCTGGGTGATGTGTTCCCGGGTGTGTGATTCCTTGAGCAGAACACATATGAGCTGTACACGTTTTTGAGTTGTGCACTTTTCTGTATGTAAGTTACATTTCAACTTTTAAAAAAACGACAAGTGCCAGAAGTTCTGTAGCTCCGAGGACAATGCAGTACAAGCTAGTAACTGGGCGGGCAGGGAGGGTAAGAAGGCTGCCTCCTGAAATTGGCTGTGCTGGCCTGACCCCAGCCAGCACCCTGCCAATCCTTCTATCTCAGCACAACAGTGGTGTGGGATTATGGTTTTTTATCCATCCCTCAACCTCATAGACCGTTATGCAGGATAGAGAATGCATCTATTTCTCTCCGTATCACTTGTGCTTGCACACAGATATTCCAGAAATATCTGTTGAGTGAGTGAGAATGCGAATGAGGTGCCCATGTGCAAACACTTCATGTGTGAGATGGAAAATAAATGGCCGGAGGGAGTGGAAGCAATGCCCTGTGGGGCTGGCTGGAATGTGTGGTAATGGCTGTTGGCAGAGGTGAGGTAACACGGGGAGGGAGAGGAGGCCTGGACTCAGTCAAAGGGTCAGCAGGGTGACGTGGGTATGGACGGGATTAGGGCAGCTGTTGTGTTCAGCTTCTGAGGAGGGGGGTGGCCTCAGTTTCGATGCCACTCCAGCACCCTCTTACCACATGGCACAGGACTTACCACCCTCCCTGCTTTTGGAAACACATTCACACAGGTCATTTCAACTGGTCAGTACCGGCCCTGTTAGCCAGGCGCCATTTCCCTTTCCAGAAGACGGGAAATATCAGGGAACACACACGCTTCCTTGCTTGTTTTTTCTGGACACTGCGGAGAAGCCTTGGGAAAAGAAGATATTGCCAGAATGAGCGTTAACTTACCTCGCATAGTCAGCTCTGCTATCTCCTTCAAACAGGAGTTTCTGTAGGACACAGCCTTGGACAGCTGCCAGAACCCCACAGGGACCCCCCTGCAAAGAAGGACGTGCATTAGTGCCAGTGAGAACAGACCCAGGGCAGAGCTGTCTGTTCCTCCAGAACCAGCCACCGACCATAGGGTACAGAGCACAGGGGCCCGCCGAGCCTCTCCAACAGGGGTCTCCGACGTGGCAACCATTCTATGGAGCGCTGACCCTGAGTCACATAGAGGGGGCGACAAAGGCCCCGGTGCCCATCGCTGGAGGAAGGAGCGAGCCTGCAATATCTGATGGCAGGAAAGCAACTCTTCACATCCAGTCATTTGTGAAGGTGTGATGCCATGGACACCACCACCGGTTTCCAGGGAAATGTCTCTATGTCCACAGGCTGAGGATGTCAACTGTCTACCCAGCCTTCAAGGCCCATCCTGAAGGCCTCCTCCTTCAGGAAGCCTCCCCCAACGGTCTCAGCTAGAAGCGAGCCCTTTGGCAGCCTCCACTGATGTGAGCAACCTTCTGCCCAGCTTGCTGTCTGCCTCAGCACCCATTAGGTGGTCTTTGTCCCCTCCCACACTGGAGTGACAAGGCTCCTTGAGAAGCTCATCCCTGTAAGCATCAACAAGTACAAGGACCTGTCCAAGCAGAGGGCCACGGGTGCCCTTGAATGGGGGGTGCAAGGGAAGGGCTGAGCTTGGCCATTCCAGGGACAGAGCTGGTGGTCCTGGGGTTCTTCCTCAGGCAGTGTGGGGCAGCGGGAGGCCCCTGGGGCTTGAAACATGAACCCAGTTGAGCCGCAGGATTTAGAGTGTCTTCTGGCCCTTAAAGTGTACATCTTAGGAAATGTGTATAACCATGTTCAAATCCCGCCACGATCCATCTAGATTTCCCTGTCCTATGTCACACCTCCTCCTGCTGCTCCTCATGCTTGATACCTTTGCCATTTCCTGGGGCCCCAGGACTTCCATATGGCCTCCCCTTTGTTCATGCTGTCACCTGCCTCAAGTGTCCTTTCTCTAGCTCTACCTGCAAAATTTCTCAGTCCTCAGTGCATTTCTCAATCCTCAGCCTAAGAACCTCTCTGGTGCCCCTCACCAGATGCAAGGCCTCCTGCTCCCTCTAAGAGAGGATTCCAGCACCATGCACCACTCACAGTAGGGGTTGCGTGCCCCAGCTCTTGCTCCGCCGGCCACACGCGGAGTTCCTGCACTTGGCGACAATTCAGCAAACATGGGGCTGGCCAGCGCTGGACAGCCCAGGTAATGCGAACAGGATTTACCAGGCTGGGGGACGCCCCACTCCTATTCATGATGGGCTCCCCACACAAAGGTCCCTTGGGAAATGTAAAAGCCACCTACCTTGTTCTGAACAATGCCATACTTTAACGAGGCTGCGTCACTAAAGGAAAAACTCTGAAGTTTCCATTCTTCATTGAAACAGCAAAAGCTGGAACCAAACAGAAGGGTCTTTAGGTCCTGTCAAAACGAGAGAGTTTTATTGGTTGTTTTAAAAGCAAACAATATACTGCTCGGTGTATATATTCCCACAGGAGCTGGTCTTGAATTCTAGCACGACAGAATGTTTTTCAGAGGGTCATCTATTTTCTGTTTATTTTGCAAACCCATTCTTCTCATAACTGAGGAAAGAGTAAAATCGACCCTGAGGGTCTTACCTCTGGAACATCTGTAAACCCAACTAGCCTGTGCTGACTCAGACAAGGATTTTTTTAGGTTCCTTAGAGGAATCTAAATTTTTGAAACACAAAATTTTAGTTTTATAAGGGATCTTGGAGGTTCTTGACTGCACCTTAGTTAGAATAATCTATGGAGCTCCTAACAATCCTGATGCTCAGACCACATGCCAGGCCAATGAAATCAGAACCCCTGGGCATCAGGCTCTGGTATCTGTAGTTTTAAATGCTCCCCAGGTGATTCCAGTATGCAGCCAAGTTTGAGAATTGATGCTCTAGGATAAGCTTAGCAAGCTGTGAGCCACAGGCCAAATCCGGCCCCCCACTTGTTTTGCAAATAAAGTTTTATTGAAACACAGCAATGCCCATTTGTTTACATATTGTCTATGTTTGCTTTTCATTACAATGGCAGAGCTGAACGGTTGAAAGAAAGCCAAAATACACTACCTGGCCTTTTACAGAAGAAGTTTGCCAACCCTGCTCTAGTATAATCTCTTACTACAAGGAAGAATCTCCTCATGACATCACCCACTAGTGGTCCCCCCACAAACTCAGCTTGAACACCCCAACCATCCAGTGAAGGGGTTCCACCACCTCTAAAGGCAGCCCCTCCGTTTTCTCACAGCTTATTCTCTAAACTTCTGGCTGATATTCAGCTCACTGTTCATCTCTCATCAACTAAAGCCCCACCCCACCAGAGCCCCAGAACGTGCCAACACCTCCCCACTGACCACCCCTTGGGCCTCAGACAGGAAGGCAGAACCTCTCCCTGGATGCCCCCTCCCCATGCCGGCTACCTTCTCTCTCCACCATGATTTTACATCCCAGGGTCTCTGAAGGGCCAACACGTGGATTCTGTTGCCACCTCCCCAGACTCCCTCTCCTAGCAGATCTTTCTTACAGACTCAGATTATTTCCCTCTAGAATCAGCTCTTTTTTTCTTTTCATTAAGTACAAGGAGAATCTCTGTGACAGAGGCATGTGTCTACGTGTCATCAAATGTAAGCTGGTGGCACACAGGAGAGATGGGGGGTGAATGCACCTGTCAGGGCTTGGTTCCTCTTGTGCCAAGTACAACCATCCACGTATGTGAACTGAGTTTGCTGAGAGCCTAGAAACTATAGGGAGACTTGAGTCTTCTGGCTGATGCCCATGTCTGCTCTCTTAACAACAGGATGACAGCTCCCAGCCAGGCACAGAATAGTCTTCAGGTCAGAGGGTCATGAGCCTGGAAACCTGGGTTCCACTTGCCGAGGATGCTCTGAGGCCTGGGCCCTCCTTTCCTCTGTGTGGGCCTCAGGTTTTCCACTGCTTTTAGGGATGCTACCACTGGGTGGTCTCTAGGGGCCTCTAAGGACCCTTCCCACAATGTGAGTACCCAGTGCAAAGAATCCAAGCCCTGTGGCTACAGATAGCCAGAGCACCTACTCCTGGGTTTGGGGCCACTTAAATGTGTCTGACCCCCTGTGGTTTCAAAAGAAGGAAAGGAAAGGGAGGGGAGGAATGGGGAGGGAGAAAACCTCCAGAAAAATCTTTGGCTTTTTTTATCTGTGTGCTGAGTAAATACTTGGTAAGTAGGAAGAGAAGGGGGTCAGTTGTGTCCCCAGGAGTTTTATTTTTTCCTCTTGAATCCTGGCCGAAAAGCCAGTGGAGGACAGCGGGAGCAGCATTCCATCCCATAGGAACCACTGGCCACGGGGAGAGGTGAGGCCATCTGGCAGCTGAGGATGGTGAGGAATCCAGGACATCCCTGCAGAGGAGGCTGCTGAGGCCAGGAACCTGCTCCCTGAGTCCTGCGACCTCAAGTCCCTCCAGGAGGCCCTTGGAGGGAACCCAGATGGTGCTAAAGAATTGTTAATGCTTCCCCGTCCTTCCCTCACTGCAACCCAGCCTGAGCCCAGCTTAGGAGACTAGCAGGAGCAGAGCCAGTCTAAGGAGGACAATTGTCCCTTTGTCATCACAATTCTGGAGTTGCCCATTGCAGATGTGGTGAAGTGGCTCTGGGCCAAAAGAAGAACTAGATGCTGGAATGTTGGAATGGGAGGAGGTCATATCCTCACCTTTTGTCTCGGACAGGGAAGGGGAGTGGCCAGGACTAGGTCCCCGTTTTCCTGACTCTCAGTTAAGGTTTTCTTCTACACCACACCCAAATTTCCATTTTAACCATGACCCAGAGATTATAACGAGATGGATGGGACCAGAAAGATCAAAATCACCTCATCCACACCAATTCAAATCAAGATATAGCAACTTGTAACTTGACACCTACCTTTGCCACTGAGAGGTCGATTGGCTTTGACACTGTCTGCAGCTTGAGCAGGGATGGGACTGGAGACAGGAGGACTTCTTCCCTTACCAGTTCATCCTCCACATCCTCTGAAAGAAAACCATGGTCGTGTGAGCTCCTCGTTACGACTCACAGAGAATAAAATATGAAGTCATTTAACACCGAGGACTCCGCTGACTTTGGAGGTGGTGTGAATGAAAAGAGGGCTCCCCACCATCCACCTCTCTCCCCTTTGGGGCTCCCAGGCCTTCATCAGAAGGAAAAAGGGCAGAGCAAGAAACCCCTTGCTTCTTGTCGCAGCCCCACGCTGGTCCACACCACAAGGATGCTGGCGAGTGGGACTTGGCTATTGGTCCACTAGAAAGTTCTGCTTGTAAACCTGCAGTGAAACAAATGCCCAGGGCCTAAGCCATTGAGTCAGGCCCAGAAAAGCCTCCCTCAGACACATTTCTTACAAAAGGTGGGCAGGACGTGCAAATCCGTCCTCCTGAGGGTACAAACATGAAGAGGGCAGAAGGAGAAAAGAAAACGCCACTATTTCTGATAAAATTGCAATAATAATAGATTATCACTATTGTGGCTTTCATTTATTAACCATCTGTGTTTTATCCCCCTAACAGCCCCACTGGGGAGCACTTACCATTACTCTCGTTTACAGTTGAGGAAACTGAGGCTTAAGAGAAGTTAAGTGACTGGCCTAAAGTCACGCAGAAGGGAAGTGGCAGTGACAGGATACAAACCCAGGCCGACTCCTAATCGCTCTGCCATCCTGCCAGCCAGACCTCCCCGGACCTCCAGCCAGAGGGTCACTAAGTGTCATTCCGGATATTGTCCTCTCACAGCTGGGGCGGCTGAGGTCCAGAGAGGGGCCGAGCATGACTCTAGGCAGCACCAGCCTGTGTCTTCCCAGCCGGCCAAGGCTCCCTCTCACCGTTACACCCACTGCCACAGCATTTCCGAAAACAGTCAGACAAAGGACCCAAGTGAAAACAACCGAGAGCAATTATGCTCACAAAGCTGAGCAGGCCGGTCTCCAGAGAGTCTCTGTTTCCCACTTTCCCAAGACTAAATGATTATTTAAAAAGCATGCCACACTCTGTAGAAATCAACATGCTTTCCCACAATTCTGTGTATCGGGGCCTATAGAAATGTCACTATCCCTGCCCCACATCTTCTGGAGATGGTGTCCAAAGGCCAACGTCCCCAGGACATGTGTCTTATATCTTATTCTACAGCCTCCTCTTCTCCCCTGGGAGAGGAGCAGGCACAGCACGAGGCCGACTCCTAGAGGATGAGTCCACTGAAAAGGAGGCAGATTCTACCTCCAGGCTGGAAATAATTTAAAAGTAAGTCTGGAATTTAATTGAGAACCTGAATTTAAAAGAGAACCTTTCTTAGTCAGGGCCTCTGAAAAAACCACCCTGTGACCAGGGCCTTAAAAATATACCTTGAAATAAAGACCAGATGTTCACCCAGCAACATGCATGGGTCTTAAAAGCATGGTGTTGGGTAGAGAAAGTAAGAAAGCAAATGAGATCTAGAACACAATACGATTTACATCCATTACAAATAGCTGCACGCAGAACAACACGACACATTTTGCAAGAACATACACATGCAAAAAGATATCAACTAAATACATGAGAATGGTTGCTTACGGACAGGAGGGTCATGGAAGTGTGGGATGGGGCTAAAGGGAGACTAGGAAGGAAAGGCAAGAGGGAGGAAGGAGGAAGGATGAGGGAGGGAGGGAGGGAAGAAGGCCAGGTCAGGCTTTGCAAAGATCAATACTGAGAATGTTCACTGGAGGAATAGAGATGGGTGATTAACTCAACCATAGGTAACTGAGGCCCAAAACCGAGGGGGAGAGTAACCTGAGTGATCCCACCAGGGCTCCTTTCAATGCCTCAGGCCAGACTGTTTCCTGGAGGCACAGAAGGGGCAGGATTGACGCCTATTTGGTGGCTTCTGTTTAGTATGAGTTTGTCCAGGAGGGAGCGGGGCTGAACCATGCTCTGCTGGGGCCCCATGAAGCAAGCCTGAGGATGGAGGCTGGGGGCCAGGGGAAGGGACCGGGTGGAGTCCCAGGGGGACGCAGCCTCCCTGGGCTTCTGCCAGGAGGAAGTTGGCCGCTGTGCAGGGAGTTGGTTCAGGACCACATAGCAGGCCTCGGGCACAGATGTGGCGGGACCACCATGCAAGGGAAAAACAAAGCACTCAGAATGACATGTTGGCCCAGCAGACAAAACCTTCTGCAAATGCCAGTGGTTTGAGAACGCTATTTTTAAGGCCCTGGTATAAATGTCTGGTTGAAAAGAAGCAAGGAATTTTGTTTCCCATACCATTTTATTTACCCTTTGGAAAAACTATATATATGTTTTCAGACATAACATATATTAGAATACATAATAGAGGCCCATATACTTCTTTTTCCAGATGCCTGCTCAGTATTACCTACTGAGTATAAGATATCTTCTCCGGGAAGCGCCCGAACGCCCCAGACTCAGGAATCTCAGAAAGGTGCCCCTCCAGGCTTCGGTTCTGATAACAGACTCCATCTCCCCAGCCCTCCACCGGAGACCAAGGCTGAAACCTCAACCCTCTCCCACACACCACATTGCTCCAGCCTCCAGATTATTCTGCCTCCAGAAAGTCTCAGCCCTTGCCTCCGCCCTTTCCCTCTCCACTGTTACAATAATATGCCATTATTCTCTATTTGTTCATCAAGCAGTTTATTGACCTCTCATGATGTGCTATGGGTTATGTGGGACAGAGGAGGTCCAGAAATGATTAAAACACCACCACCCCTGTCTTCAAGGATCTCACTGCCTAGAAGAGGGGACAGAGCCCTGAAGAAATAACATAACACAAGTGCTAAAATAGAGACAAGTCCAAAGGTTTTAAGAGCCGAGTGGAAGAGGCAAATAATTCTGCCTTAAAGGGTCAGAGAAGCTCCTCATAAGAGGTAAATATTTGAGCGGGTCTTGAAATGCTCATAGGATTTCCCCAGATAGAACAGGGGTCCAATTGCCTCTTTTCTGGACTATTCCAAGAGCCCCCTCACCAGTCTCCCAATGTCCAGGCTCTTATTCCTAAAATCCATCCTCCACACACATGCAGAGAGCCCCAGACACACAGCCCCGGACACATGGCTCACAGCAGAGAATCTTCAAGTGCTCCTTACTGGCTAATGACCTACACTCAAACCCTTAGCACTCAAGACCATCCTTGCCCGGCCACAGCTTCCTGCCCAGCCCCGTCTCCCCCTGACCCCACACCTTCCCCTACAGGCCAGTCGCCTCAAACCAATCTCTCTCTCACACTCCCGACCTTTGACCATGTGGTTCCTCTCACATCTCTACTGGGCAAGACCTTGCCCATCCTTCAAAGCCCAGTCTAAATACCACCTCACCATGGGAACTTCCAGAACCCACCACAGAACTTGGCTTACACGCCCCTTGAAGCAGTGAGGAACTGCTGATCGTCTGCTCTATGCGTTGCTACCAGAGGACACCTCTTCTTTGTCCCACCCAACCCTGCCCTCAAAGAAGGCAAGCCCACTTTTTATTCACCTTGATCTGCTTTCAATAGTCCTGCAGATGCCCTGGCAGGTAACTGCTGACAAAATTTGCTGAACTGAACCAAATGAAAAGGAATAGGGGTGGGGAAGGGAATGTCATTCCTCCAACCAAATTTTACTCCTTGTTTCTGCCCCCCACACCAAAACTTCTCTTTCCCGTTCTCTTGGTGACTGGGTTCCATGATCTCTTCTCTTTTATCTCCTTCTCCTTTTCTAAGTCGTTAGCTGAGCCACTAGCAAAGAGGGGTCTGCCTCCCTCTGGAAAACACACAGCCACAGACACACACACACTTCAAACAGCTGGGTTCTGAGGGAACTTCCTTCCAGTCGAAGCCTGCTGGGTTCTGAAGGCTGGAAACTGATTTGCCTCGTGTTCAGACAGGAGTGGCTTTCACTGCAAAATCTTCAAGTGCAGCACTTTACGGAGCGGCTTCAGATGCCAGCGTCTCCTGGCTCCGCACTGCATCCTGCGTGGCCACGTGCAGAATCCTGACCCCTCCCAGGCAGGCCAAACGATCCCCACCGGCCACGTCTGATGATTCAGACTCGAGGAACTGTTACCTCTGAAGGGAGCTAAGCAGAATAAACAATCCTGCCTCCATCATTCAAGGGCCTGCCCCTGCGCTTTCAACTTCATCTAAGCAAACCGTCAGACTGCGCGCCTCACACGAGAAGCTTCTAAAGGGCGCACTGCTTGCTTCCTTCGCTTTAAAAGGGAGCACTTAAAAGGAGAGGAAAAGCATGCGAATAACTCTTAGATCTCAAAGTGGTGCAACAGGTAAACTGCCAGCTTCCAGAAGAGCAAATGCCAACGGCACTTTCATGTCTGCTCGTTGGTTCGTCATCCTCTGTTCTCCTGCTGCTTTTGACAAGCCCTGCAACACTCAGTCTTTGGGGAGTAGAGAATTATAGAAAAAGAGATAAAGAAAGATTCCTTCAACACTACAGAGTGGGTAGGTCGACACGTTCTCCACCTTGATCTCGGAGAGAAGTCACACAGATGTAAACGTATGTGAAGACACACCGAGGCACGCTAAAGTTCTGTGCACTGATGCACTTCACAGCTTGTATTTTACACCTCAATAATATGTTGATAAATATTTTTAAAAGGATGGATTTCCCCAGGCAGAGCTGTACCACTGTTTTGACTGAGAACTGTCTTCTGGAGACCTTAGTAGGCTCTAAATGACCCTAAAAGAACCTCCAAATGCAGCAGAAAAGTCTCCTCTGGCCACCCAGTGTGGATCCAGAAACACCCAGACTTCTTACAAGGATTTCTCCAGGAGAGAAAGACAGTCGGTGGAAGAAGACATCAACCCAAAAGAGAGAAGCCTGCTCTAGTCTCCCGGCCAGCCTCTCCTTCCTGAGGTCAGGTGGGAAGAAAGAAGCCCCTACCCCAGCCAGCAGAGAGCCCCACCATGGACCCAGGACCTCCCAGACAGAGCAAATGAAGCCGCCTGCACCCTGATGGGCACAGCACAGAGGCACCAGCTGCACCTACCGAGCTGCAGGACTCCCAGCTCATCATCGGCCTTGTTGGACACTGGCAGCTGATTTTTCCTAGAAAAAAAGAGAACGTCAATGTACCAGAGGAGCATGACAGAGAAGTGCAAACAGCAGAGAAGAATGGGAGGAGTACCGGCTAGGGGTTCAGGAGACGGGTTCCCTCCAGCCCTGGCCCTGCCACTCTGTGTGGGCCTTGCCCCACTCCCTCTCTGAGCCACCAAGAGGTTCCATACCAGATGGGACCAAATGGCCTCCAAGGTGCCTTTCAAGTCTGTGTTCTTACAGACACACACAAACAAATCAAGTCCTTGCAATCATTGCACAGATTTTTTCATCTCATCTCTCTGTATATTGTTTTTGCTCGCCTTCTTACAAAGCTATCAGTAGCTATTTATAAGAAACCTCTGAAATGCACCAAAGAACCTGTCCTGTATCCTTCTATTACCTGAAAAAATTGCCCATGATTCTGATTTGTAAATTCAGGTATGTGTAGGCAGAACTTTCTTAAAATGATCTACCTGTATCTTAGCCCTCTTTAGGTTCTTTTTGTTTCCTCCAGCATGCATATATGTGAACTAAAGTAAAATCATTTTTTTAAAAGGCTGTATTAAAAATAACAATATTACATCACTCTCTGAAAACCCATTTACTATATTAAAAAATGACAGCTCTTTTGAACGTGGCATTGAAATATATTTTCCTCCAAGATCCTTGCAGGGTAAGATAGGATTGAAGTAACGATCGTAATCTTGCTGTGGTCCCTTCTATTGAATTGGCTTCCTCCTGAAGATGTATGAAGGGGCGTGAGTGGAAGACCGCGGAGGACACACAGTACCAAAGCCGCGAGCACGCACGTACGGCTCTGGATCCCAGGCTTCTTTCTTGCGCGCTGGAACGTGGAGCTGCTTCCCCGCCCTTCCCAGGCAGCCCTAATCCTCCCCTTGTCCTCCCGCACTCAGTCAAGCCCATTTCTTCCATTTGAAACTGTAAAATTCCTATACCCCTACGCTACCAGGATTCTGCAAGTGTTCTCGGGGGAATGGTGAAAGAAAGAACTGCAAAGAGGAGCTAAGGCATAGGGGAGCAGCAGAAGGGTGTGAAAGAGGGAGGCGATGCAGAGACTGTGTCAGAGCCACCCCTCCCTGGCCCCAGCAATGAGGGACTGTGCTTTCATAAGAACCCTCTGCCAGCCATGCCTCTGCCATCCCCACCAGCTCTGCCACTAACGGCTGAGGACCTGAGTCCTACCTCTATCTATCCCTTCTGTCACTATTTCATCCAGAAACTAATGCAAGGTGCCTTCCTCTGGCTGTGCCTCTGAGTCCCTGTGTGAAAAATGAGGACCGAGACATGGGTACTAGATGGCCTCTAAAATCCGCCTTGAACCATTTCAAGCAGGGCACAGCAGCAGCAAAGACATCTCTGGAACATCCTGGAGGCAACACATCTCTCTTGTAGCCATCTCTGCTCTCTGCCTCCTTGTCTCTTACCCAGATCATTGCAACAGCCTCCTAACTGGTTTCCTGACCCCCAGTGTGATGCCCGCCCCCCACGCCAGCCCCCACATCTTCACACAGTTGTCAAAGGCATCTTTCTAAACGGCAAATCTGACCATGCCATGGCCTGGCTGAAATTCTTCAAAGGTTCCCCACCATCATCATCATCATCAACAGCAATAATCATATTTATAATGATGACAGAAATAAGAACAGCAAAGCCTTTCTGACTCCTTTGACTGTTCCAGGTACTGTGCTGCGTGCTTTGCAAGTATCAAGAGCCATCTGCTTCTTAGAACAGCCTTATGAAGTAGTTATTGCACTGAGCGTCAGAGAGGTCCAGTAACTTTCCCAGAGTTACACAGCAAGTAAGTGGCAGCACAGGAATCCTAACCTAGGCAATGACTCCAAAGATAATGGCTGCAACCATCACATATAATACTTCCTTATAAAATAAAATCCAGTCCCATTAGGGTGCCCTATGAGCTATCTATGATCTGGCCACCTACCGCCCCAGCCTGACCTCCCTCTGTATCCTCACGCTCCCCCTGCATTCCTCCATGCTGAACTTCTCCAGCTATGCCTCTATACCTTTCTCCTAAGCTATTCAATCAGCTAGAATATCCTTTGGCAAACTCATACTAACCCTATAAAGCCCTGGTGGGACGTCACCTCCTTCTCAACTCCAAAGCATGCATTCATTCACTTCTCCATTCACTCATCCAGCAAACACATGACAGTTACCTGGCAGGCCTGGTTTCCTGAGGGAACCTCAGCCAGGAAAAACGGACAGACGTAAGTCACAATATGATATGGTATCGGAGGCTGAATAATGACCCTAAAGATACCCATGCCTTGGAATCTGTGGATGGTACCTTAAACGGCAAAAAGGACTTTGCATTTAGGACTAAGTTACAGATCTTGAGATGGAAGAGAGTATCCTGGATTATCCAGGTGGAACCAATGTAATTCTAAGCATCTTTATAACAGAGAAGCAGAAGGACGTCTGACACAGAAGAAGAGAGGTGATGTGATGCCAGAAGCAGAGGTTGAAGTGATGCGCCTTGAAGATGGAGGAAGGAGCCACAAGTCATGGAATGTGGGTGGCTCCTAGAAGCTGAAAAAGCAAAGAAACAGATTCTCCCCAGGCACCTTCTGAAAGAACTAGCCCTGCCAACAACTTGACTTCAGCCCCGTGGAACTGATTTCACACTTTGGTCCTCCAGAACAGCGAGGTAACAAATCCACGTTGTTTTAAGCCATTAAGTTGCGGTAATTTGTTACAGCAGCTGCAGGAAACTAATACACATGGGGAGAGACATAACCAAGGAGGAACAAAGGATGGCAAGATTCTCTTGGTTGCCTCTGTATCCTGCGTGCCCAGCACCTAGTCAGTGCTCTGTAAACACGTGCCGAGTACTGGAGTGACCCTCACAGAAGCTAGGTAACTCACACAAGGTCACACAACTTAGAAGCGCCAGAGCCAGCTCTCAAACCCAGGCTGCTGGCTCCAAATGCTCTATCTTGCTCTTTCTTCCATTTTATGCTTCTTTCCACTGCCCAGGAACCTCCATGGCTTCCTGGGGACCATGGGACAGAGTCCAGACCTCCCAAGTGACCCCCCTGGGCTCCCGAAGGCACATGGGTGGCCGCGAGCCATGGTGAGAGCAGGAATGATGTTCCTGCTGCGTAGGGTACAGCGGGGCCTCTCCTGGGTCATGGGACTTCCACCAGAGCGCCATCCATCAGCTGCAGGAGCCCAGCTCCGATGCTTTGTGCCCATTTCCCACAGATCTCATCACCAGAGGAGACTTCAATCACGCTCACACTTAGGGAATGTGCTCATTGTTCCTTTCATGTGTCCCTTTGTGGCACAAAGCATTACAGAGTTTAAAAGGTCAGTTTAAAAGCATGTTCTTGCCTTTGAGTGAAAACTATTATGAAAAACAATGTCAAAAAAAGATAAATCAGGGATTCAAAACATTTTTTCAAAATGCGATTGTGCAGATAACCCAGAGACGTGTGTCAAAGTGTGCACCTAATAAATCCATGGGAGCCAGGCTGTAGACACTCAGCTTGCTTGCTATGTCTGAGGCCTCCACTTGCCACCCAAGCTCTTTTTCCTGCCCCCACAGGAGACGCAAGGGACAGGGCACTGCGGGTGTTGGGGGGGACATGGCACCAGGACTCAACCCCTGGACTGAATTTTGGCTGGTGCAAGGAGCCACTCAGAGACTTGAGCTCTTGCCCCTGCTCCCCACATTCTGTATGACCGTGGGCAAGTCACTTACCCTCTGTGGGCATCAGATGTCTCACCTGCACCTTGGGGGAAGCCTGAGCATGCCTACTTACCGAGGGACATGAGCAGGTGCCGGGGCTATGAGAGGACTGAAGTACCCAGGTCACACTATTCTCGAAGATTCTCTACGGCTTCTGCATCCCAGCACTCAGAATATCCCACTAGGTCTGAACATAAAGACAGAGACAAGGAGATGCTCCTTCCTGTATGTTTGGTACTAGAAACCTGGCTAAATTAGTTATGGATTACAAAAGAAAGGTGTCCCATGACGGGCTGGCCAAGTGGCGTAGCAGTTAAGTTTGCATGCTCTGCTTTGGCAGCCCAGGGATCACCAGTTCAGATCCAGGGCACGGACCTATACACTGCTTATCAAGCTGTGCTGTGGCAGGCATCCCACATATAAAATAGGGGAAGATGGGCACGGATGTTAGCTCAGGGCCAATCTTCCTCAGCAAAAAGAGGAGAATTGGCAGTGGATGTTAGGTCAGGGCTAATCTTCCTCAAAAAAAAAAAGAAAAAAGAAAAAAGAAAGGTGTCCCGTGAGAAGAAAGATATTTATCACTTACTATACATTCTATTTGATGAAAACTCAGAATCCAGCATGAATGGAGTCCTACTCATATAGCACAAGAATCCAGAAGATAAGGAGTTAACATAAAATTTTCCCAAGCCAGTGCTACCCCAGCACACCTATCAGAAGCGAAGTAAAATGCTCTGGAGGGGCAGTTCAACAAAGCAGGTCACACCAGATTCCCTGGGGGAGAGAAAGATTTTTCTAAAGCCCCACTGGAAAATATGCTCAGAACAAAAAACTATTAAATATATGAGAAAATGATGTACCATAAATGAAAGCCAGCTGACACAACAAATAGGACTCCCAAGAACTTGAGATAAGAGAACAACAATCTAAAAGAGTCTGTAATTAGAGTGGAGAAAGTTTTAAAAGGAATGGAAATCATAAGGAAAGAGACACTTGAGAAAAGAATGGGCAGCTTTGAAAAGTAAATACAGTCATAGAAATAAAAAACTTATGGGCACGTAATGATGGTGATAGATAATAACATAGCAAATCTATTTTTTAAAAATCCATGAGTCAGCAACTGGAAGAATGAGGAATGGAGGGAGGGAAAGGGCAGGCGTGGATCATAGGAAGTTCTTCTCTATAGAACACCATCAACCAATAAATGTAAAAAACATGATAAAACGATAAAAACTAGAAAATTACCATTTTATAAACTCCTGCTATGGTAAAAGATCAT